GCTTATCAGCTATTTTTGAGTCAGGGATTTTAGAGATTTTTCACGAAAATGGCCACTAATTGCAAACGGCGCTTATTTACAAAAGCTTATGATCGTAATTTAAATATCTTTTATAATTGCTTTTTGTTCCACAGTTCAACAGCATTTTATATGTACATTGCATTTACAATCATGTAATAAACTAAATGCGCTAACATTTTAATTCTGAGTTTTTACATCAGTGAATCACTTTTTTGATGTTGCCCCATAATAAATACCCCAATTGAAGCTTTTTAATATCTGCATACATTACCAACACCAACTGGTGGGCTCAGCTTCACCCAAAGCGATATGTTCAATGCTCCACGATGGTGTCTCGAGTCTTCCCACACCCGTCACTTTACGCTCATCATCACCATCCACCGGTATGCCAATGTGTACGTATGGTAAGCGAAAAGCTGCATTGGCATTTTTCGCCGACAACGCCGCGGAGGTATGACTTAAGGCAGTATTGTTGTTTGTGTAGGCAGATATAGAGTCACACGAATTGAATTGACGTAACGAACGACTTTTACCCTCATCTGCCAACCGCACAAGACCAAGTGCAGTGGAGAGAAATACCTGTTCGAGTCCTTGATCAGTTTCAGCTGAAGCCTCAAAATAGGTGGCACCGATTGATGAGGCAAACAGATAGGCTTCATCGTGCGTAACTGTGCGATGAGCAAGCAAATCAAGTTTATTACCGACAAGTGTAAGTACCATAGGTTCCTGAACGTTACGATGTAGCTCCTGTATCCAAGATTTGATTTCGCGAAAAGTTTTATGCTGTGACAAATCGAAAACCAAAATGGCTGCGTTAGCGTTACGATAATACATTGGCGCAACGGCTTTGAAGCGCTCTTGTCCAGCTGTATCCCAGATCTAAACGAAACGAAAAAAGGAAGAAAGGGCTTTAATTTTATTTTCATACATTCATATGTATATTTAATTAAAATGAAGCGACGTAAAGTATAGTAACATTACTACTTATGAAGGTTATTCAGTAAAGAGCCTGTCAGACGTGGCAATGCAATATATTTCGAAAAACCTGTTAAATTGAGCANCAACGGCTTTGAAGCGCTCTTGTCCAGCTGTATCCCAGATCTAAACGAAAAAGGAAGAAAAGGCATTAATTTTACTTTCATACATTCATATGTATATTTAATTAAAATGAAGCGACGTAAAGTATAGTAACGTTACTACTTATGAAGGTTATTCAGTAAAGAGCCTGTCAGACATGGCAATGCAATATATTTCGAAAAACCTGTTAAATTGAGCAATTTCAGAAAGCAGTTGCATGCGCATTCACACCTTGCATGCAAAGTACAAGTCTTTCGAAGGAGGTTTTTTATTTCGGGAAGGCGAATTGCAGATTACTAGTGCAACACGAGCAAGTTCAAATATATTTCCGAAATCGATTTGCGATCTCTCTATTGCAGTCACATCTTGCAACCGCACGTCTGACACGCTCTTAACAGCCCTTAGCACAGTTTTAAACGAGCCTGTAGCTTTCTCTGCTGACGCCCAAAAGTCCTTAACCGTTGCATATTTTTGTGGGCATTCAACCGCCCACCATTTTTTTTAACAACTCATACATATGTGTCTAAATTTTATGGATCTAGGCAATTCCTAAGAACTGAATTAAGATCTATGCCTATAGACAAGTTAGTACAATCAACTTTTTAACTCTTTTCTGGAAAATACTAAAAAATAATGTGCATGTATTTCGAACAAGAATGAGCTGTAGCGATAAGCTGTTTTATATTTTAAAACTATACAAACGTACTTCATTAAAATTCACGACACCTGTGTAAACAATCGTGGGACGTGCGATTAGATGCAGTTGTGCATTTTCTTACACCTATGAATCAACGATGAACCATTTCAGTTCCAAGACATAAATAAATAAGCGATTGGAGAGAAGCCCTAAAATGTTTATGATAGGGTATTCTCACAGTCTTGCACGGTGTACGGATTGCACGGTTTGCAAAGCTGTCCCATAGCAAACCGGTTTTTCCCGTTCAATCCGTGCAAACCGTACACTGTGCAATGGCTGTGCAAGACTCCGAGAGTACCCCTATTATTTTGTCACTTACTTGCAATTTGATTTTTACATCGTCTAGCATTACTTTGCATGTAAAAAATGATGCAGCTATCGTTGGGCCAATATCTTTGTGCAATGTATTCTTTATATACGATGTGACCAAACGCGTTTTGCCAACTCCTGTAAAAAAGGAGATTTGTTTTCAGTTAATGAAACTTGTATTTAGTAAACATAGATATAACAATTATATGTTTAAGTCTGCTGCAATCTGGGGATTTTCTGAAAGAATTCCCCACCGATTCGATAACAGTGAAATTAATAAATTCAGGCGGGGACTTTTAATATGCACATGTGGATTTACTAAACTTAGNATCTGGGGATTTTCTGAAAGAATTCCCCACCGATTCGATAACAGTGAAATGAATAAATTCAGGCGGGGACTTTTAATATGCACATGTGGATTTACCAAACTTAGTTTTTTTTTTATAAATGCAAATATGGACATATGTATGCGTTTTGTAAATTCTATACTCAACTGCAAATTTTATAATTTCTTGAATTTTCGAAACTATGTATGTATGTACATGCTATGTATTCTTATCTACAAAAATATGCAACTATCATACAAAAATGTATGTATGTTCGTAAATACATATGTATTTGCATAAACAAATGGGTAGCACATGTACATACTTACTTACATATGCACACATGTATGTACGTAAATAAGTGAATGTTTTCTATAACCAATAGACATAAAAAGTAAACAAAGGCCGGGCACAGGGCAACTATAGTAGGTAGAATGCTTGATAAGTTTATAAGCTAGCGGAATACAATGCAAATGTATGTCTCATACAAAGTTGAACCCATTTTGTATATTAATATATGTAAGTGGATTATTTTATCTGCTTTTACATAAAAATAGAAATTATATAGACAGGCATTTTACTGCGACATTTGCTGTTGATTAACCATGCCAGTTTCATTATTTACGGTGCCTCGCGTAGAATTTTGAATAGCCTTAAAACGCAATACACTTTTTTCATGTGGTTGCAGCATTTTTACAACTACATATGTACATACGTACATATGAGTCGCGTTTTCTTTTTAACCAAGGTGAATGGGGCTTAGATTAAAATAAACGCATCTTGATATAAGGGCTTGTAATATTAAAATGAATCATGAGTACATTATTTGTTTACCTCGGGAACCCAACACCACAACTTTGCCTTCAATTCCGCGCATATCTCATGAGCCGTGTACTTATTTCCTTCGTCAGCCAAGGCGTTCAATCCAAATGTGTGATTTCGCCAGCCACCACTCCAAATTAGTGATATGTTAGAGCCAAATTTGGACAAATGGTAAAGTTCATAGATTTAAAAATATTCACTGCCTCCTAGTGTTACAAATGGTAAAGTTCATAGATTTAAAAATATTCACTGCCTCCTAGTGTGGCTTCTTTATGTCCTGGTTTGTCCTTGAAAATGACAGATTCATTCACAAAATATTTGCTTCACAACGACTGCTTTTTGACTTGCTTAAAGTGAAAAGTACTTCAATAAGCTATAATTAACAAAATGTATGCTAAAAGAGTATTTAATTTCACTGAGAACTATACTTTTATGGCGATTTAGATCAGAAACAGAAAAATGATAACCACAACAAAATCACTGTCACTTTTTTTTAATTGTCAAGTTATGTTTGGTGTTGCCAGCAAATTTAATTATTTTGACACAATCTTGGCGCGCGCGCTTCAACCAAATAGTTCAATAATATTGATGTCAACCCTACAAGAAATCTTACTGGCAAATGGCCGGTCACTGACGGTCAGTGCTCATGCAATAAGGCTGCAATTTCCTCATCAAAAATTCGGGGGTTATATGAAAAACCTGACCAGTTCTTTTGTGTAGATGTGACCATGCGTCCCTTTCTCATATGGGGATTTTGCCAGCAGTGCTAGAAGGTCTCTTGTCTACTTATTGTATTTCCTAAGGTTATTTTTACAAATGTTTTTCTGTATATTGGTGTATATTTTAGTGTGTTAGTGAAGAGGTCAGAAAAAAAGTCCTTTTCTTGTAGGGAATATAACAAAATTATTAGGGTTCTTCCCTTAAACTCGTAAAAGCCTCGTAAACTTACATCGTTTTNGTCAAACCTTCAAACACCCCCATACACAGCACAAATGGCTTGAAGCAAAGGGAAATTTCGCTTGGTTTGTCAAACCGCTTGTGTGGTGTATTTCGCTCTTAAGACTTTACGAGTTTAAGGGAATCCCCTAAATGCCAATTTACCATTTTTTAAGAGGTGAAAACTAAGCTTTCCCAATAAACACTAAAAAAATATTTGAAACTAGCATTTTCTCAACTTGAGAAACATTCTTTTTTTCAAAAAGAAAAATGCCCTTTTTGTTGAGAACGCTATGGTCTTCCACTTGAGGTACTGTTGAGAAATAACGTTGGAGATACATAGAAATACTTTAGTTCTCAACTTAACCTCAAGTTGAGCTTAAACCTAAATGTTTAATGGGTATTCTCCCGCCAGGGCACTTTTGATCCCAAAACAAAGAAAGTTGTCTCAAGAGAAATGTCAAAAAAAAAATAACGAAAATTTGTGGAATGGCAAAAATTAGTTAACAATCACGAGCAAAATAAAAAAACAGCTGATTCATCTTTGTTTTTGTTCTACTGTCATTTAAATTTTGGTGTGTGTTGATTTTTGTACATTCGCTTTCACGTCTGGCCCGCGATCTAAATCTTAACACGTAACAAAGCGTTTTTCTTGACTCGTGGCTACTAAAAAAATATATATATTACACAAATATATATATTATATACGTAAATACATTTTCGTTCATCGAATTCTCCACAAAAATAGAGTGCTTGTGCGAACTTTAGTTTAGTGTAAAAACAAATACGGAGGACAACAAATTTGTGGTTCTTTCCATCATATTACGCGCGGTCGTCGTCCGCGAAGCAAAACGAAATATGTCTGAAGTGAATTTCGACTGTATACGCTCTATTGAGCCCAACGCAATAGACATCCCACCCGCCGCCGTCACAGCATCTACCTCCACCGCTACTGCAACCTCACTTACCTCAACCATTACCCATTCAACTGGTGCCGCTGCGTCATCTTCTCAAATGCAACTGTCACAATCATTAAAAAATTCCAAAGATGTTTATCTCGAAGCGACTCGCATTTTAATCGTGCTCTTGGAAAATGTACTTAGCGAGCCAGCTAATGCTAAATACCGCAGCATACGTCTTGAGAATAAAACAATAAAGGAGAAATTACTCTCAGTGGCAGGCATTGCGCAGTTGCTAAATGCTATAGGTTTTAAAAACAACGACACAGAATACACGCTGCCACAGGAGGTGCCTCTGCAGCGGATTCAACAATATAGAGACGTTTTGCGCGAACGACGTGAAGCGTGGCTTAAAAATACAACTCCGACAGCTAGAGGTAAAATCAATTACAGAAATTAAGTCCACCTACAACTTATAATATTACACAATTTTCTATTTTCAGGTAAATTAGTAGAGGAAACCACAAAAGTGAATGGACATGAAATGGCTGCATTTTCAAATAAAAGCAAAGAGCAATTGCCCCAAACGGAGCCATTGCCTGCACCTATCACAGTGTCCGTTCCATATAAGCAACGCATTCAGTTTCCGCGTATACTGGTTAGTGCCGTATCTAAATTTTTATATCTCTATCGACTAGTAATGTTTCCCTTTTTTCTTTCTGCGTATAATAATATAACTTCAGCGTTTAAATAATGCTTTCCTGCAAGCTTTGGAGTTGCAATCAGATTCTGTCATGCAGTATGAAGATGAAAAGCTAGTATCCGCTGGACGTGCACTCATTCCCATAGATGACTTAACACATAAAGCTAGTGAAAAACTGCTCGCTATTCAAACACAGATCAATGCCGGAAAATGTAACGAGAAGGAACCATGCATAAGGGATCTAATTGTGGTCGAACTGTGCAACTGGTTCAACACAGAATTCTTTGAATGGGTCAATAATACGCCTTGTCGCGTCTGTGGTAGCGAAGAAAGCAAGTTACGACGAACGCAAACCGAAGGCGATCTGCGCGTCGAGGTTAGCTTTTGTTGCGGCCAGGAGACAAAATTTTATCGTTACAATGATGTGGCGCAGCTGTTGGTATCGCGGAAAGGACGATGTGGAGAGTATGCGAATTGCTTTACGTTCCTGTGCTCGTTGTTTGGATTACGATGCACGGCTTGTTTTGTCGCGTTTCGATCATGTATGGACTGAGGTGCGGAGAGCAAACAGTTCAAATGATCACATTCGACTGACTAAACTATCGACTAATTTTTACAGGTTTATTCAGAAAGTCAAATGCGTTGGTTACATGTTGATCCCTCCGACAATGTAGTGGACTCGCCGCTTATGTATCAGCATGGTTGGAAGCGGCCAATAGACTACGTGATAGCTTACTCTTGTGAGATATACAGGATGTAACGTGGCGTTATGTGAACAATCATAAAGAAACGTTGCAGGCTAGACGACTTTGCAGCGAGACCGATTTGATTGCAGCAATTTTAGGTATACGCAAAAAACGGCAGTTAGGCTTTAGTGTCGAACGCAAAAAGGCGCTGAGCCTACGTACATTGTTAGAGCTATTCGAACTCACGGTGGAGCGGTGAGCTTTTATTTTATTACAGTTAACGTCGAAACACTTAATTTTGGTTAAATTACAGACAACCAACAGAGAGTGAACTTAAAGGGCGTAGCTCAGGTAGCTTGGCTTGGCGCCAATCACGAGGTGAACACACGTTCAACAATGTAAGAAATCTTACAAATCAGTTCTTTTGACAAATTTCGAGTGAACAAATTATGTTGTATAAAACACAATAGACGCTTTTGATTCGCCAACCTCATAGTAAGCTGAGAATCGAACATCTGCATTTAATCCGAAGCATTGATTTAAACGAGCCCTACGCTCTGCTGTCTAACAAATTTTGGACCCTAAACGAGCAGAGAAATGGCGAATCGGAAATGGCTAATTTAATACAACTGTTTTCTTTATGAATTATGAGAATAATTCTTTCATTTGATGACGAATACCTCATGCGAATTTGGTTTTAATTCTTACTTTGATTCTTTCAAATGTAGATCTTTGTTTTCACTCTCAACGACGACGAAATTAGCGCTAAGAAATTTAATATGCGTTACAGCTGTGCCAAAGATATCTACGAGCGTTATCTTAAAGGTGAGCATAATATTTATATTTTCTATGGAATGCCCGACTAATTGTATCTCTTGCATCTTAGCTGGTACCTCGGAATTAAAAATTCTGCAGACGTACAAGACTTGGCAAAGCGCACAATTTTCATCCAGAAACATTTTCCGCAAGGTCGAGCGTGATTGGAAAATGGCTTACTTAGCACGAGAAGGTTAGGACTTGTAGGAATTTTTGTCTCCATTTACTCCAATTTAATTTTTTTTATTTCATTTCAGAAGGTGCTGAGCAAGGTGAAATCGTTTGGAAATTCGACTTCAGTAAATCTGGTTTGAGAATTAAGTCATACAAATTGCGTTTCGAGCGCAAAACTTTTGGCGAAGGTCAAATTGAAGTGAATGTGATTGCTGACAATGGTAATGCAAACATTGTTGGCGCTTCAGTATTTCAAATCAAGGCTGTTTTGTCGGGTGGCAAAGGTGATGTCGCTTGGCAGCATGCTCAATTGTTTAGACAAAGTCTAAATCAAGCAGAGAGTCTATTTGATTTGCAAATCGAATTGATATAAATTTCCAATTTTTACCAAATTTGTTGTGCAAAAATTTATGGTTTAGTTAATTTAATAAGAAAAAATGTATTATGATTCCTAATTAATTGTTCATGAACAAGCAAAAAATAATGTGCAACATATGTATGTAAATTGCAAAGCATGTTTAACGTCACAGATTCACTTGAAATCTTAAATAAATTTATATTTGATACAATTCAAACATTCTAACATAAATGCAACAGTTCTTTCGCTTTCAAAAAAAAACCAAACAATGATATACATATAATTCAAACGATTATTTTTGCTATGCAAATAACTTGCTTTCATAAAACTTATTAAATATCTGACCGGTGGAGCAGCTGCTTCACATTTCACTGTTCACCAATTCGAACCATTGACGCATAGCCTCACTCAGCACCAAAGGTAGTTGATTCAAATCGCGTACAATCACATAATATGGGAATGGGAAATCTTCCAAATAAGATTTAATAGTAATGCGTTTGTCAGGTAGCATCTCCATGGTTTGTATGTCCAGTATTGAGTCCTGAAATAAAAAAGTAAAATAATGTTTGCTTTTTTCCGAAAGCTAAAAAAACAGTCGCACAACACCAACCTTATTATCTGGATTATCAATTATTATATACACTAAGAATATGCGTTGCATGCGCGCCAACTTGATTGCGTTTCGCACCTAAATGGAAATAAATTTTTAATTCCACATTTACCAAAAAAGTTTTCTCACAACCTACCTTAACACGCCCCTCGCTGAATATATTACGACCATCACTCAGTACCAGCAATAAATTTTCGAATAGACCATTGTCCGTGCCCAGTGCACCCTCTTCCATGTTTGCCGTACGCACAAAATCGAGTAGTTCAGCGATTTTTGTCTTATCCTGCGCAAAATTAAGTGCATTCACCAATTTGGGTCCATCGAATTGTTCTGTGTGATTGAGTATAATTTGTGGTGATTCACCGAATGACACAATACTCAAACGACCGCTTTCAAGCAACGTTAGCGCTTGCGAAACTAACGAGATTGCCTCGAGCGTTAGTGTTTTCGAATTGTTATGATGCATCGACTTGGAATCGTCGATGGCTATTGTGATTTTATAGTCACGTTGTGCTGCTTTCGTACGACGCAACCATATTTTATCTTTGCGAAACTGTGATGCTATATAGGGTATTATCTTCTTCATATTGATGCGACGGCCGGTGCGATAATCGCCTTTTAGACGTGTACACTTGGTGGGTTCCAAAATGAGACGCAGTTGTTCGCACAGTTCGCGTGCATTTTGCGCCATGCGATTCGATATAGTTTGCCACGTTTCGTAATCCTCGTGCATTGGAAGAGCCTAAAAAGAATTTGGTTAATAGGTTTTAATAGTAAGCGAGTATGCGCGATAAATAAATCGAAAACTTACGGTCTTATTAGCCGTTAATTGCTGTTGATACGCCCTGCGCATTTCCAGCAGTTCAGCTGTGCTTAATTCTTCACTTCGCGTTAGGTTCTCCAAGAGTATCTCTTTGCTGAAATATGCCACCAAGTATTTAGTATTAACGTAATTATGGCAAAAGCGGCTATATTTAAAATACATACTTGCAATGTGCCGAAGTATCATCACTACGCGTCGCCGTCATGGTTTGCACAACTTCACCTTCAACTTCCATTTCTTCAGGCGCCTCAGTGCGATCCTTAATACGTTCAGTCTTCGAAGGCTTATCTGATTTTTTGTCAAACTTCTCGGCGCTCATCTCTTCGGGATCCTGTTCCTCTTCGGGTGACTTAACTGTTTCCTCTTCGTCCTCTTCCTGTAGGCCCTCATTGTTCTCTGCATCCTCGTTCTCAGCATCTGGCTTCTCTTCATCCTCTTGATGCCTAATCTGCTTTGACTGCTCTTCCGTGGCATTGTCAAGCGTTGTTTTATCGCTGTTCTTAGGATCTTTTACGTGCTGGAACTCTTCGGAATCTGCTTCGTGGTCGTCTTCGATTTCTTCGTCTTCTTTTTGTTGCTGCTCCTTCATTTTATCTATTGTTTTCAGCTGTTTTATTTTGTTCTGCTCCGCTTCGCCTTAGAAAAATAGTGTTTTTGGTAAGATCTAAGTTTTATTTAAGTTAGTTAATAATGGCGTTTTCTTTTCTATAAAAAAATGTTGCCTTTTCATTGCGCTCTCCTAAGTATTTGGGCGTAGAGGGCACTGAGAAGGTAACATTTTTCGGTAGAATAATTCAAATGGAATTTGTTACTCATTTTTAATTTTCATGGGGATCCATCCCCTTATCCACATCCTAATTACGCCACTGAAGACCGCCAGCTTTATTCCGGTGGGTCGCATACAAAAAAATTTCCAGATATTGCCTACTGACGTGGCCGAACTCAAAGACAAGTGTGACCCGACCGAATGTACCAATCACGACGATCTTATTTTTTAAAGGAACTCAATTCGGACACCAACGAGTTACGAAATACGGAGCCTTAAATTTAGGGGTGACTGTCAAGTGCTTGGCAACCCCGAGCGGCCATAGCTTCGGCGACAAAACACACCCGGACCTCACTAAGGGCACGTGAACGTACCGTCGACGTTTCATTGAGCACCTTAAAAAGGACAGGTCAGTCGCAGCATGCTCCGAAAAGCTCACAGGATCCGTCCAAGTTAACCGTCGATAACATTCACACATCTGGAGGTACAGACAGTTTAAAGCCAAACCGTCCTGCTTCAGCAACTACAATGGAACTGAGTATCTCATCGCAATTTTCAACCTACCCATAAATGCACAGTTCATTACAGAAGTACGAAAGAGAGATAAAGTGAGTCCTAAGCTACTCGAGGCACTACTCTTTCCCTCAATTACCGGACACTTGAGCCTAGTCTCACATCCGCATGGATTTCGCAATTGCCCCGCAGAAATCAGATGGACTCATCCAGAAAAGACCCCGAGCCCGCAATGTACCTGTGGCGCTGGATCTGTCAAACCTGCCTTTAACACGTTGAACCACGGCACGATAGTTAAGGATATCGCATAGTCATCACTACCAGGTCACACAAAACGATGGAAACCAAATATCACTTACTTCGCCAAACTTCCACAAGCGACCCAGGCGGTGTCATGTGTCTCATATGCCGATAACTGCTCTATTATGGCCATCAGACATAATATTGATGAGCTCGGAACACAGATAAACAGCTAACTCAGTGATCTTAAACGCTTCCGCACGGAACGTTATCTAAGATCGATAGAGCTAGAATTTTGACCCTATGAATCTAAACGTCCTGTCCTTCTAGGCTCACACTACGAGAATGGGCGAAAAAATCCGCAGCAGAAACTAGGTCCTCCAATCGCTTGGCGTCAACACCCGGAGAAGCGAAAAAGTTTTGTTCTGCGCAACTCCTCTGGATGCCTACTCATAACATCACAATGAAGCTGAGCTGCTTCCGGCAAGGAAAAACATTTTGATTCTGTATAAACAGCCAAGCCAACACCCCATTCAGACAGGAAGAGCAACACACCCGCGGCAGGTAAGACACCTAAGCTACCCGAAGGAGACATTGCTAAGCACAGCTATGCGTCGATGAATCGGGTTGCAGCTGCAACATAGTACTCGCAGCTCCGCCGACGAAATTAGATTACCCCGCTAGACCAGATCAACACAAGCTCATCTACGGTACGACCGAACTATCCCACGATAGTCGGATTTACGTAACTGGAACAACCCAGTTTTATATGTGATCGGGGACTGTCACTACAGCATCACTTCCCAAAATTTTTTATGCTCTTACAACAACAAAAACACGGCCGGATCAACTTGTGCAGAGCCAGGATAGATTAGGAGATCACTGACGACTGTCTATTATCAATATACAGCACCCATCTAAAACCAGAGGAGCTTTGGAGCAAACCACACTTTAAGTATATTCTACTGTAGTAGTCGAATGGGACACCTCTAAATGCCAATTAGGGGGTTGTTACGTACAGCTACAACAACAAAATCTAACTTACCCAGTGTGCGTTCCTCATTAGTTTTGCCTTGTTTACGCTTCTCTTGCGTCTTTTGCTCTTTAACGCTGTCGTCCTGTGCCACTTTCTCCTTGGTCTCAGCAATGCCTTGGTGCCCACCGTCGTTGGTCTATAAGGAAAATAAAGTTTTCATGAATATGCCTATCGAAGTTTCCCAAAAAACGTACGTCATTTTCTGCCTGTCCAACCCATCCTTCTCTTCGCCGGTTTCTTGCTCGTCTAATTTTTGATCCTGCTTCACGTCCTCATTATTCTCACTTTGTACTTGATCTGGGGTGCCTTTTTTTCCGTTTCCGGCACGGACTGCACATTTTCTTCTTTACTCATTTTGTCCTTGGATTGCTCGTACTCTTCCGGCTTCTCGGTATGCTCTTGTTCTTCGTCTTCCTTATCCACCGGCGGCGCCTCAGGCTCTTGCTCGGCCCGTGTCTGCGTTTCGGCTTCGCCTCTTCCTGTTCTTCTTTACCGTCTTCATCTTCTGCTTTCTTCATCTTCTTTGTTCTCGTCCTTGCGCAATTCGGTGTCGCCATCGCCATCCTCCGAGTCACTGTCGTCTACATTCGGTTCGTTTTCATTCGCCTCCTCTTTTGACTCTTCTTCATCTTCTTTACTTTGTTCGTCTAACACCTGCATATTCTCCTTCATTTTATCAATGTCAAAAGGATTCTCCTCACCCTCGCGCTCGTCGTTGCCATCTTCTTTCTCATCATCCGCATTCATATCGCCCAAATCCATTTCCTCCGGTTCGGTGGCTCCTCCAGTTCATTGTGGTGGGGGTTGGCTTGGTCTTCTCCACTTCAGGTTCCTTCATATTGTCAATATCTTTCTCTTGTTGTTTCCGCTTTTCATTCGTTGGCTCATCTGCCGCATCGAGTCCTTCGTTTTCCTGATCATTTTCATTGGCGGCATCATTCTTCGTATCCAAGTCGTTGTGCGTGTCCTTCTCGTCCTTAGTGCCCTTTCCTTGATCCTCTTCTTGTTCATTCTCTTCTTCCTCTTCCTCGTTTTTCTCTTCGTCGTCGCCCCATATCTGGTCGTCCAACTTATCTGCCTCCTCCCCCGTCTCACCCATTTGCTTGTCCAATTCGTCATCATCTTCCGACTCACCACTATCATCCTCTTCTGGCTTTTCTATATCCTGCATATTTGCATCAAAGTCCTCACTCATTTCAATGCCTTTGTCCTGCTTGCAATCTTCTGGCTGTTTGCCCTCCTCCGCTTTTCGATCTTCAGGCCGTTTCGCATCGTCCAGCTGGTCCTCAGACTCAATTCTGTCTGAGGCATCATTTTCACCTGTGCCGTCTTCCAGACCGAAACCTTCACCTTCTTTCTGCTCTTTCGCTTGACCCTCTTCATCTTGCATTAGGTCGGGTGGCACACAAAATCCTTTGCTGCCGATCTCCACAAACACCGTTAACATGACCGAGAGCATTTTCGCCGATACTTTGTGCGCGCCCAGCTGCTGGAAGAGATAGTATTCTGCCAACAAATAGTATTGCTCCAATATTGGTATGAGCGTGGTGAGTTTGCGCGCGCAACCCAATTTCGACTGGGATGGTGTGGCGTGCTTGAGAGCGAGCAGCACGTTAGACAGCTGCTCGACAATACTAACAATATTCAGCGTTTGCCAATCGGACTCCAGCGCCGCGTGCACCTGCTCCTTCAAATGCTTCTCCTGCAACTCGAGCTCATTTCGCGCCTTGCTTGGCGAGAGCGATTCCTCTGTGGGCGTAGTGGTCGCCTCTGTGTACTTTTTGTAAAGCTTCTGCAAAGCCATTAGCACAGCGTGCAAAATACTTTCGAGGACGGCATCTAAATTATCCAATTCGATTGAGGGCGTTAATTCATTTGGCGATGATACACATTTGCTGCACGACTCAACGAAATCAAGCAATTCTACAATGGGTTTGGCAATTGGCAGCGGGTCGCCCGCGCCACTTCTCAAACTGCTGACAATTTGCTCCAGCGTCTGACGCAGTTTATCGTGTGTTGCTCTGTACTCTGCCACCTTAGTGACAGCCAAGAATTCCTTGTCGTGGCTCAGCATATTAGCGAGGGTGGCCTTTGCTGTTTTGATGACATCATCACAGTTGTCGTTGATTGCATTGAAGTAGGCAGAGTTTTGCAATAGGCGGTTTTCACTATGCGTCAGCACAGTATTTGCTTCGCTATCGCCAGATGGCGCGCACGTCAGCAGTAGGCTAAATTGCTCCATCACATAACGCATGCGAGAGATGGACTCACGCAAGGCCAGATACGAGTCGCGCGCTTCTCTGAATGCCAAGCCTTCCACGGTCTTCACCGAGACAGAGCACACATCAAAGATCTCTTTAATATCCTGCATTAGTATGTCCAAATCGTAAATTTGCTTGCTAGTATGCGCGAGCAGACGCCTCTGGTTCTGCACCAGAAGGAACATGTCCACTGCAAAGCCCTTTATTCGCTCTATATTGGGCGGACCCAACTCGGACAGCGGCGCCAACATAATATTCTGCAACAATCTTAATTTGAATTGGCATTTCGCGTAGTATCGATCCACGTTTTCGTTCAGGTGCTGCACGTTTGTGTGCAGGCGCTTATCGTTGCGCGCGCCAAGCATGGTCTTAATGCAGAACGGCGGCAGCGTAAACTCGTCGAAATCGGTACGCAATGACAACTCCATCAGTCCAGCCTTGTAGCTCAATCCAAGTTGTGTAAGCGTTTTGAATAGATCGGTCAGTCCTTTGCGTTTTTGCTGTAAAATTTGCTTAGCTTCCAAAACTTGCTTTGGTCGCTCCTTGCTGCGGTCCACGCTGAGCGCGCGCAGCTCATCGCAACGCTCCAGCTGTTCGCAAAGCACGCTGTCCAAAGCAATGATTAGGTTGGAAAAGCTGGCATTGCCAACTGTTTCCTTTACTACGTTACGCGTGGTTTTGAAGAGCCGACCAACCTTATTGAGTAGGCTTTGTTCGCTCCCTTCGAGTGGTGGTACACCCACAGCAGCTTCTTCGCCTAAAATGAATTTCTCGGCCAGTTTTTGTGGCGCCACAAAATTTTTAACTTCCACCAGGTAATACTTGATGCGCGTGTCATAGCGCAGTTCACGCCCTTTATCATTTTCGAAATTGTAATCCTTAACGGTGGCATCTTTGGGCTGGAACACTGGCGTAATCTTCTGCTGCAATTGCTGCTGGTATTCTTTTAAAAATGTATTCAGATTGCGATGCACGCGCGCCACATTATTGCGCATGCTGAAGTAGGACAGATCCTTATTGTAGCTTTCTATCTTCACCAGTTCCTTCAATTTCTTCTCGATGGGCGCGCGCATGCTTGCCGCGCTCTCTCCGATTTCTTGCGCAAATTGCGCGAAGTAAATTTGTAAATTGCGCAAACCGGCAATTAGCATGCGCGCATCGTCGACGGAAGTGCTCTGCAATGCTAAGTGTTCAACATTGTGTAGATAAAGTTCGAATGCTTGCAAAAATTGTAAGCGCACATGAAAATCGCCATAGTTAGCTGCTTCTACGAATTGTCGTAGTATGCGCACAATGTCATCAGCGCTGGCAGTTGTCTTCTTCTCGACTTCAGCCTCATCGAGCAATTCACCGTCGCCAAAACGCTTTTCTGTGGTTCTTATATCAGTGTAAGAGCTATCCAGCGCACGCTCGCGCAAATACTCCTGCAGCAGTTGGTAGATGAAAAACCAGTATTTGTGTGCGTTCGCTTCGATCTTCCGCTGTGTTTGATTCAAGCAATTGCGCCAACATTGCAGCTCGAGCTTCATCCAACGCTGCACGTACTCAGCCACAGCGACTTCCTGCTGGCGCATGTGATTGCCCTTGTGTGCCACCTCGTTCCATTGGGCGAGCTTTTGTCGCAGCAGCTGAAAGCCGGTATTGAAGCGCACCACCGGCGCTGTAGCTGGCAATGTGCGTATCCTATCGATCACACGTTTGATGTCTATCAAGCTGGCATGCTCGGGGTACAACGCCAGCTGCGCATCGGCATGCGTTTCAATGTCTTTCAACAAGTCAAGGCAGCCCATTATTTCTGGTATGTTGGAGTCTTTGTAGTAATTGTAAGCGTGCGCACTTCTTCCAAGCAGCGAAGAATTAGAGTTAGTAAGCTGTTGCTGTTGCAATGCCAGCGCAAAAGTGCAGCTATTGTACGCCGCTTCAGTGAGCCAATCATTTAAGCCGCGCTTGTAGTGCGCATATAGCGGCACAAATGCCTGCATGCGCGCTTCAAATGGTTCGATGAACTCCAGATGGTGTCTAGCAGCAGTCGCGGGCTTGTGGTAGTATACACGCGTATACTGCTCCATTAACTCAATGAAATGCGTGGCAAGAAATGTGTAGTCCTCATCGCGTATCACTTGCGTCGATTGTGACTTCAAATTCGACTTCTTATCCAGTTTCACCACCTTTTCCAATGTTGCTTCGATCAGGAATTCGCCAAAGTCTTCTTCCACATTGGTCGGGAAGTGCGACTCGATTTCTTGCAGCTCCAACAGTTCCTCGTCTTCCTCAGCGCATCTGGTCTTATTCACGTAGAGGCTTTCCTCCTCAGCCTTCATGGCGCGGCGGCGCTCTTCCTCAGCCTGCCAGATGTGGTTCGATACATTGAAAACGTAGTCCAGCTCACCGAAGATCTGCTCATTTATGTACTTTGAAATGGTAATGGTGTTGCGCAATTCGATGAGCTTTGCCTTGAGCAACCGGAAGTAGCTGTGATCGCTGTGTGGCAGTTGCTTCATTACGGTGTTCNGAAGTCTTCTTCCACATTGGTCGGGAAGTGCGACTCGATTTCTTGCAGCTCCAAGAGTTCCTCGTCTTCCTCAGCGCATCTGGTCTTATTCACGTAGAGATTTTCCTCCTCAGCCTTCATGGCGCGGCGGCGCTCTTCCTCAGCCTGCCAGATGTGGTTCGATACATTGAAAACGTAGTCCAGCTCACCGAAGATCTGCTCATTTATGTACTTTGAAATGGTAATGGTGTTGCGCAATTCGATGAGCTTTGCCTTGAGCAACCGGAAGTAGCTGTGATCGCTGTGTGGCAGTTGCTTCATTACGGTGTTCATAAACGAACGTTGCTGGAGCACGTCGCGCGCGGATAACTTCACATCGGTTTCCATTAAGTGCTGCATAGCCGGAAACTGTGCTATATTGGCTAAGGCAAGCGAAAGTTTATCATGCGAGTTCAAATTGGTGTATACCTTTAAGCTGCCCAGCTGTAAAATATTGGCACCCGCTTGTGTGAGCACTAACTTCAGGCCATCAAAGCCGTAGCGCAACTTGTCGATGGAGTACTGCAACGGCTGTACGAAATCTTGGTAGTGATCCATGTACGCTTTCAGTGTGTGATTGAGGAAACGCTGTGAATTCGTTATCCACAGGTTGAGTTTGTTCACCAATTCTGCGCTAGTATTTAGAATTTGAGCAGCCG